CCTATAGCTAATTTGTAATAATAATAATCAGATAATATATATAATCTGGGTAATCCAATAATGCAATAATCTCATACTCGAGGTTAAAAATCTCTAACAATCATTGAATTTCTGTCAAAAACACATCCAATTATGGATCTCCTAGAACATAAGTGCTCAGGATTTCAGTGCATTTGGACTTGATGTCTGCATAGCTCCTAAGAGTGCAACATCTCTTAAGTAATGCTGATTTACTTGTCTCTGGATTTCCAATTACCATTTGTCCTCGGAGATAGTAATAGTCACACTGGTGTATTTTGGAGTCTGGTCTTACAGACAAATGGCACAACTGCAGTGCTGTGCCCCACAGGTCTTTTAGAAGAACAGGCAGAGAGGACAAAGGTGGGGGTGGATTTGCACTCTATGAGAAGAAGAGGTTCAAAGGGTTATAGAGAAGATGAAGTCAGAGGTGCATTGCAAAATTACAAAAGACATATGCCCAATTGCAGCAAGAGAAATTCCAACTGGATGTGTGAGGGATCAAAAAAAAAAAGAAATTAAAAGGCTGCTCAGATATGTTGTGAAATCTTTCTTGAAGATTTTCATATACCAACTGAAGAAACTGCGCAACCTGTTCAGACTTTGAATCTGGTACAGATTTGAGCAGGAGGTAGGACTAGGTAGCCTTCAAAGATGCCTTACAATCTGAATGATTCTAAAATTCCAGAGTAGCCAATACAGTCTCTGTATTGCATGTTTGGATGGCATAATCTTAGAAAAGGAAAAACTGATATTTTATTCTTGTCTATTGCAGAGTGCGTAAGGCGTTTATAACTTATCTAGAGTGTCATGGAAGCATTTGGTTTTATGCAATAATGAAATTAATTTAATTTTTTCTTAATGTGAGAAAATTCAAATAAGGTAGAGCACAGCAAATGTTATTTTTACTATGAAAGAACTTTGGTACTGGACTTTCCACTGTGACTGATGTTTAATCACATGACATTTAGCTCAGTTTCCTCTTTGCTTTACCCTGTGTAACAATATTTCCCTGATGTCACAGAGCTATTATAAGAAAGAACATATCAATTTCCTAATTATACCCATGGAGCAATGACATCTTGACAGCATCTACCTCTCTTTCTTTCTCATTGAACTTATTTGACATCACCTCATGGTTCCCTGTGCAGTAACAGTGGCTGTGAGTAGGGAACAGTCCTGCACCTTTCATATCTCCAGATTTCAAAGTGTCTTCTAAATCCATCTAGGTTTCGGGATCATGGGTTGTTAGGTGAAGGTAGTATTTCTTCAGATGACTGAGGCACCTGTGCTGCCATACTCAGTGTTGATTGGCATTAAAGATCCATTAAGGAGGATACATGTGGTATCCTTCTAGTCTTCTTTGCTCACCTAACACTGACTTGTGCTTGTATAATGGCTAATATAAGTTGTTTGCCATTTGTGCCATACATAGTTACTTGGGTGGTTTTTTGGCAGTTACATTTTTCAGGCTAGGGCTCCATTACTGTTTCTAAATGAAAATGAGGTTTGCACAGTAGATCTGTACTGTAGTTTGAATGCTTTTTCTAAATTTTCAGCAGCTGCAGCTTTTTCTTACAGCTGTTATAAGAGACAAAAGCCCAAGTCAGTGGGTTTAATAATGCAAACATAACCAAATCATTCAGAGCTGCAACACTGTAATTCAGCAAGAGAGAGCCAAAAACGCAACATGACCATATGGAAACAACAATATTGAGAGTGTTTGTTACTTTAATTCTGAGAAGAAAAAGGCAATGACTTGTAAAAGACCTTGATGGAGATATCATACAGTAAGCAGCAAAGTAAAACACTGTAATGATTTTATATAAAGTTTATACAAAAAGAACCCTTCCTGAAAACATTAGCACTTGAAAAGCACATTGCTTATGGAAAACTTAGCAAATACCATCAAGTTACTTAAATATACTGTTGCTGAATAAATTATTATTAGGTTAGAATACAGAAAACCCAAGGAATGGATTGAACTCATACCATACATCCCAATTTATCTTTTAAATTAGTATGATCACCATAACACTCTAAAAGCCTACCAGCACAGACTCCCTGGAGTGCCTCAAAGGTGGAGCTCTTTCACTCACAAGTTTAGCCAACCTTCTTTTCTCTTTGCCTTTCACAAACCATGGATACAAATGCCATGTTGTATTAGCAACATAATGCCCTGAGTGACAATTTGATCCTTCATTTGAAATATTAGAACAAGAAACTAGTGATTATTAAAATTATGACCAACTTTAGGGGTCAGTAATACTTGACATTCATGTGAGCCTTGTTCTCAAAGAACAGAAATAAACTCTATTGGCCAACACCACTTACAACCTCACCCTCCACTGGTCATTGCTAATAACCTGCCCATCACACCAGAGGACAAAAGGTGGCTGTACAATAGAGCAGCCAGTCACTGGAGATTTCCCAGGAAGCTTCACACAGTGGAGCTAGGCAGACTTGTGAGAAAGAGAACTGATGCTACATTCCAGTAAATACTAACAAGCTGTTAGGACTAAGTTCCCAATTCTGAATCCTTTCAACAAACATATCTCCTGTTTTCTTCAGCAAGAGCTCAGCAGGGGTAGGCCTGTGGCCCAAATAGGAGGGCTAGTTAGCAGAGCAGCTATTTAGAAGTGATCACACTTAAACACTTTGCTGCAGTCTTCCTCTTTAGCCTTCATCATTTTGGAGTTCACAAGATCATTTCACTGTTACCCATTAATTAAAGTGCCAATCCATTTATCCGTGAAACATTTGTAGACAGAGATGCCCTTTGGAATGCAAGGATTAGTCTCAACTGCAGTAGATTTGATGGTTGTGATTGAGTAAGGAGGAAGGAAGCAGGGAGAGGAAATCAAGAAATTGCAAAGATATTTGTTTGTTTCTTTATTCACTTATGCTGAACTATTTCTAATACACAGTGTGGAAAAAAGTATTTCCATTATGCAGTCATGTTTTTCTACAGCTGTAATGATCTAAGGACATCTGCTTAATAACATTTGTAAGGAGGGGTAATCGTCCATGCCAGCTGGCATAGAGTAATTTTATAGCTATACTGACTGATCCAACAGAAGATGCTGCCTCTATCTACAAACTTTGTCACAGGAAACTAACTGATGAGGATTAGATTTTTAATTAATAACCTCCAAGGCAAACTCTTAGATGTGATCTCCCATCAGGAGAGCTAGAAAGTAGACTTGACTTCCCTTCTCAGCTTGCTGTCCTGGGCTAAGACACACTACTGATCGCTACACTATTTTCTCAGGTCATCCTCCATGTCCCACCAAGGATGATCCCTCTATAGTCACTATGAAGAAAGATGGTCAAGCCTTGTACTATGGTTCCTGACCCTTTCTGAAGTCAGTCTCACTGTTTCCACCTACTCTCTTCTGCCATCACACCTTCCCCCTACAGCTACTTTTTCTCTGCAACCCTTCCTCCAGCAACAGATCCCTCCTGCCACACCCTCATCTACTTTCCCACAAAATTCTCTTCATCACTTCCTTTCACACATAGGATACACAGCTTCCACTGGAAAAGTTTGGTAGCTCAGCCTCTGCTCTCTGCCACACTTCTTCTCTAAAACTGGACACCTTCGTTCCAAGAAAACCCAAGTTCAGCTGGTGGAAAATAGTACATCCCAGTCCACCAGCCATTTACCATAGTTCTGCCCAATACTTGTGCCAGGCAGCAGAGTAAATAAGTAATATACATCTACCACAGTCAGAAGTACAAACACCAATATGTTCTGGAAGTCATCAATAAAAATTGCTCTAATCAACAATACATTAAAGAACTCCTAGAGGGAATACAAATAGAAGCTAAAAAGAAAACGATTGGCAGTTACCAGAGTTTTCATGATACTGGGGCAATTGCCTGCTACAGCAAAGGTGGTAAAGCTCTCTTCTCTAGTCTGCAAGGAACTTCAAGGTCTCAAAATTAACTACAAACAGAATCAGAACATATGGCATGTGGAAAGAATAATTTTATTAATCTCCTCAAAAGACAACTCTTGGACAGGCCACTGAAAACAGGAGCATGCAGTACAGAGTGACTAGGAGGAATGTATTCTGTTTGCCCATACTCCAAAACCAAATATGTAAGCCTGTCCATGCCTCAGCCACACCATGAGAGGCTGGTTTAGTTTTCCACCTCCAGCCACCAGCAGCTGGCAGTGCAAAATCCCTCTTGATGGCCAGTGTAATTTTTCCATTGTTGTTCCCTGAGGTCCAGATAACTGTCTATTTTAGGAGGAGCAGACCTCCAAGAATTTAAGGCCTTTGCAAAGGGCAGCTGGTGATATGCTGTACTCTTCTTATACAAGACCTTTGTTCAAGCAACAAAATATTTAACTCCCTCTTTCCTCATGTGTGCAGCTGTCTGTTGAGGCATCCCTGAATCTAAATAAAAAATGGAAGTATAATCATTAAAACAAAGGGTAACAAATATATTCTATCCCTTAATTATGACAATATATTTCCCCGGTAGTAAGATTTTTTTCAGCTAATTTAATGGCCTATTAAGGGCATTCAAAGGGAGGATTAACATGATAGTGAGAATGGGGAAAGATCAGATTTAACACCACAACTTTTAAATACAAAGATTTATCATAGTCTTAAGTTTTGAATGATTGATTGGTCTTATAAGACACCATTCAAAACTGTAATTGAAAGCTTTTGAAAATATTCATTCCATGACCCATAACAATAATGATAAGACTTGTGAAAGTTATTAAAGTTGTCAGCTTAACATATAAAAGTCAAGAAAAATATCCAAGATACATCACTTCTCTGTGTAAAACTACCGGCAAATTCAACTTAGGAATTTGTTAGGGATGCACTAGGAATATAATGCTTTGTTTTAGCTGTCTCTAAAAATGTCATTCATGTAGTTGTTAGCAGCTACTAACATGGAAATTATTAAAAAGAGAACAAGCTGCAGAACAGCTGAACTTGTCACATCCATGTACCTCTCTTTCAGAACAGTTTAGAAAGTCTGGCTTTCATCCTGCCTTTCCTCATTGCTTTATACAAGGTAATGTCCAAACTAGGGAAATTAGAAATCATCTCTAAGTCAAACAGTGTCTGAAACCTGTCCACAAATTGGTTCTCTCTCTCCAACCTAAATTTCATAGCCCACAGAATAACAGTATCATTCTCGCACAAGTGATCAAATGTTAGGAGGAGTTCTTCCAGGAAGGGATGGTGGTAAACTACATCAGCAGCCATAATGTAGTCAAAGTGACAGGAAGACCTAGGAAAGTTCTTCTCCAGATCAATTCCCCAAGACAACTCTTTAACACAAGGCTGGTGCTTGCATTTCTGCTTTGTATTTTGGACAACGTTGTGTTGCAGGTTTCCCAGTAGCTCTGGCAAATCTGTGGCAGTCACAAGGGCACCTGTGACATGGAGAAGACAAATGTAATATTTGAATATACTTGTGTAAAAGCCCATTCACAACAGCTACTACACAAGGAACTGGTTTTACCAGGTAGCTCTCACTGAGGGGGACAGGACAATGCAGATGTTCCCAATAACTCTGAGACATTGTGCTTTAAACAAATAATTGGTTCTCAGTAGTTCTATTCTACAGGTTGCCATCTAAATGCAGCTGGTGGGGAGAAATCAAATAGTTACTGTATCTTGATAACACATTGGTTAAAAGTACAGTGAGCAACTAGGGATTGAAGAATACCAGTTACTGACTGGCATGAGATTTAAGAATTGTCTCTGGTTCTTTCCTTTTCATATAGGAAGAAGTTTTCTCAGACTACAGAAAGCTAAAATTCTGTTAAAATGCAGAAACCACTGACCCGGATTACTCTTGAGGAAGAATAGGCTGCTGTGAAAGAAAACACAACAGTGTCTATAGCTGAGAAATCAAGTTGCTGAAGGAAAATATAGAAACACAAATGGATAGAAAGCAACCTGTCATCCCAGAGCTGTCAGGTCAATGGAAGGAGATGCATTGGTCACCTATTTTGGCTGCATGTGTTTGCCACTGACAACCTGTGAAGCCACTAATTTCTTATTTTGGTTCCCTGTTTAACACAGTTAATGACAACATATCTACTGGGACCTCCTTTATTGCATCAAAACACTCATAGAAGAAAAATACAGTATGTTTCCAAACAAGCCTTTTAGAATTTACTGTTTATTGCTCTTGGAAGCTTTTGAACAACAGTCTTTTAGAAGAACTAAGCCACTTCCTTTGTCCTCTAGTATTTCTCTGAGGGATGGTTCCAAGAGCATAAAAGCAATGGCACATACTCACCCAGCAAACTGGCTACTATGGAGACCAACCCAGTTCCAGCTCCAATTTCAATCACATTTTTGTCAACCAAATTGTATTGTTTAGTATTAGTTTCCAAAAAATAACACAGAACAAGGGCCTGTAGGGAAGGAAATTCATGAACATACTGAAGAAATTAATGAAATAAACCCCTTCAATAAATATACATCATCATTTAAAAGCATGCAGAATTGTTGTCTGTTGTCCAAGCACTGTCCCTAAAAGATCACAGCTCACTATAATCTTTGAGCTCTGTAGGTCACAAAATAAATGTCACAACATGCCTCCATATAGGTTAGCAAATTATTGCAGCCAGAAGGAACAACTACAATTAGATCATCTGTCATGATGCATAGCACAAGCTGTAAAATTCCATCAGCAATTCCTATTTATAACCAGACTTACTTCTGGTTGAGTTAAAAGGTGTCCTTCTCAAAGACATCTTGAGATAAGGACTGCTTGTGAGAGAAAATCCACATCAACCCTTGTTAAATTCTTCTAATAGTCAATTATTCCAAATAATAATTAATTATCATATTTCAAAAGAGACTAATAGATTTACCCCCTTTTCTTCTGGTTTGCTTTGTTTTCAGTTTCTGTGTGCTCACTTTGTTATGCTTAGCAAACTTTCATAGCAAATATAGCCACAAAAATCCCTCTACAACAGATTCATTACTCATGTATTTATAAACAGTGACTAAGAAGCTTCTTTAGCTCTTCTGCCCTGTCTCACACTGACCAGTAAGTTTTAGTTCACTGTTGAAATAGAAATTGGAAATTTTATTTCTCTGGCAAAGAGAAATAGCTTGTTTCCCATATTTTTCCCAGACTTGGATAATTATGTAGTCTCCATTGACAAATACATATGATGGTGGCCACATCCTCTTGCAATACAGATGACCATTTGGAAAGGCAATTATTAGTGGCTTGGTCTGGCACAGCAAAGTTACACTCTTAGTTTAGCTTTTATCTAATTAAGAAGCAGAAGGAAAGGAACAGGACTGTTGACCTAATGCTGACATGCTAGAAATTCAAACAAAGTTTTTGTTTTCTATCTCTTAATTCAGAGCATAAGAGGAGTTTTTTCATGTCAATGTACATTTATCACACGATCAACAAAGCTGTGATATAGAAATCAGTCTGTAAGAACAAGGACTAATTACAATCAGGTTCCTAAAGACTGGGTCTGATATGTGAGTGATACCTGACCTTATATGAGGATGTTCTGTTAGTTCCATAATTCCTATAATTTCTTCCCTCAGAGTTTTGCCACATTCTGTTGTAGAAACTGGCTTGTAGAATCAAAGTTTCTCAGGATTAAATTAGGGAAACTTTGAAGATTACCTCCTTTCCATGAAATGTGCTAAAACTTTACTTTCCTGAAAGTTTCTGCCCTCTTTGCAAATTTGGCTGACATTTTTCAGAAGAGTTCAAGTACAGCTAGATAGAACAGGAAAGGAGAACATTAAGAGACACAGGTTTTGTCCTTCCATGACAAAACTAGCTAAGCCATTCCAGAGAAAATCATATGCTTTTCAGTACAGCCCACAATTCTGTGAGAGCAATTGGCAGTCAGCCAAACTTTCCTTGAAGAAATGCACTCAGGTTGCTAAGACATATAGCATAAATAACTTGTCCAGGACTGCTCAAACAAGGAATATCATTTGGACTTCAAAAGAGCAGAGTAAGCCAAGTCTCCTCAGCTGAACTGCAGCCATACTTCTTAAAAATAGTACGATCCTAGGAGGCTGATACAGTTGGGACAGAAATGGAGCCTCCTGTGTTTTCCATCCTCTCTCTCCTATATGGGCTGTTCTCCAAAAGCCACAAGCATCAGTGGTGCATCATGACACCTCTCTGGTGGTTCCTTTCAGTCTTTTTACTTCAAAACAGTCAGTTAGCTGCACTGCACATATTCAAAACCTTGAAGAAGACTCTTTGTATGGTGGGTGTGTTGATGGTTGTCAGATCAAGAGCCAAGGACAATGCTTCTCTCACTAGTTTTCTGGCTGTTTAAGAAACTTAAAGTTCCATCTGAACCTCTTCCCATGTCTGTATATGTACAAGGCAAATTTGTATCTTGCATGAGCAGGTTGATTAGCTTCTATGAGTTCTAGTACCTTGTGAACCTGTATTACAGTTGTTTCTGCAAACTGGATCTGCCTGCTACAAAGCTGTCTGTATTTATAAAATGTATAGAAATGCAATCATCATAAAACTACCATATTTCCTTCAAAATATGCTTCTAATTGATCAATAGGACCAAAAGTTCCTGGTAGGTGAGGAGGGGACACAAGATCATACATCTTGTGTAACAGGAGCACAAACAAGAAATACCATTTAAGCTTTGAGAACAAGGGATTCACAGAAAACCAGGCTAAATTCAGGTTTGGGATTTGCAGAATGGAGACAGAAAAGCAGAGAATTATTTCCTTTTGTTTACAACACATAACAAAACATATTTATCATGCAAATTTAAAAGTGCTAGAAGAATCCAAAAATATAAAACATCACTACTACAAAAATATCATACCGATGGCCAGACAACTGCTCCATAACAATCAGTGGTTTCTGAAATTCTTATCTCATGGCCAGCAAAGTGAAAGCCTTCCCAGGCCTTATGAGTTATAAGAGCAGGAAAAAAACGTCTCCTCATGATTTCTGCAACTATTTGTTCATCTTCTTTTTCCCCTGGAAGCAAAAGTATAAAAGGTCAAACGGGCTGAGTGGACTGATAATGAAACTACCAATTTGTATTGAAAAGCTGATTTGGAAGCAAGAACATGAATACAAAACACATTTAACCATTAATGGTTAGCATGATACATGCTAATTCTCCTGAATTCTAATTGAAGTTTTCAGTTTATGACTAAATAATTTCTTTCCTGTTTTGCTGAAGCAGCCAAGTTCATAAAAAGCAAAGAATGAGAACGTTACCATATATTGCTTTCCATTTCAGCAATCCACAGGAAATTTTTTAACCTCTTTTTTCCTACAAGAACAGCTGCCCTAGTATAGACACTCACAGTCTTATGTGCCCAGATTTTTCATTATTTCCCATATCCTTTTACTGTTCACTTTCCCCACATTATGGTTCTTTATGACAGTAAACAAAAGGAGCCAGAGTATCATTTATAAGTCTGTCACAAAACTTGTGAAACAGATCCTAGCAACACAAATTATGACAGACAAGAGTGAAAGCACCAGTGTTGTCAGGAAAGCTTATCCACCCACCCCAACAGAGCCCTGTCAGAGGGATTCTTTCCAGTTGGCTTGATATCCTGAATGCCATCCCTGTTGCTAAGCAAAGGATATTTATGATAGCTAACATAATCCCGGATAACTCTTTTACAGGAGAGGATTCATTCTTTTTTAGCTGAATACCAAGCTAGTTTCAGTTTTGCCATCATCACACAAAGCTTGCACCACAATGTTAGGAAAAATGATATGCAAGTCAAGTCATTCAGAACAATTTCTTAGGAAAGTCTAGAATCATTCCAAGTGTTCACAGGAATTTTGTTTCCAATGCCAACTATGATCTTGGCAAATAAGCTAAAGCAAAACATGTTTACAAGCTACACCTCCCAGAAAGCATGCTAGAGAATTAGATAACTGGGTTACCACTTTGTCCAAAGCAGAGCTTCTGTGTCAAGCCTGCAGCTTCCATTGAAATCACAGATATCAAGATTGGGATCTGCATGAAAACTGCAGGCCCAGTGGCTATTGAAAGTGAAAATATTTATGTTTTCATCAGCACAAAACATATTGGTCTACCAAAGATTCTTCACATTATCTTCCTCCTCATATCACTGCAGTCACAGGAACGACAGCACCAAGTGTTGTCATTTGCTCTGCCATGTGCCTCAGTATCTCTATTGCCATAACCATTGACAAAGTCTCTCTCTCCCTTCCTTGTGATGCCAGGCCCAAGGAACAAAAGCAGAGGTGAACAAAGAGAGAGATGATACCAAACAAAAGCACATCAGGATGAGGTTCAGGCTTATTAGTCAGTGCTTTAGGCTTGTAACTCAACTTTAAGCATCAGAGGAAACTAGAGGACAGCAACAAACAAGGAACAAAGAACAGAAACAGAAGACAACTAACCACAGTACCCCAAGAATTTACTGTGGAGGGAGAATCCTAATCATGGGATATAGCAAATTAATGCAATGCTTATACTACATGAAAAAATACAAATAATATAATTTTATAAAGGTAACAAAAATAAAATAGCCAACATTGAAACTATGGTATTTCAACATGTTCAAAAACAAGCAGTATGTGTCAGCCCATTACATCTTTTTCAAACCTCTAATGTTAAGTTGAGAGAAAACACATGTGTCATTGTGCCTGTAATCAGGGAGCTCCACACAAATGTGAGTTAAGTGCCAGAGAAATGCTGCTCCAAGGCAAAATTAATCTTTTCTTTTATGAAAGAAATAATATAAAGCTGTGTCATTACACATATCATAACTGTATTTAATATATCATCCTGTTTCCAGGCATACCAGATGCAGCCTGCTTTTAATCTTCTCCCATTGCTTGGAGCAGTTTGATCTTGTCCTGTGATCATTACTAGCTGTGGAAGTAAAAGCTCTTCTTTCTATTACCTCACAATTACAACCATTTTTCTTGATTCTTCCTCCCTCGACATCTGTTCTGGATCCAATTTTGTTGAGAAGCTGCTAACTTATTAAGTCCTTACTTATAAAGCTTCTGCCAGAAGATCTATAAAACTTTAGCATCTACCTCTCTAGCACTCAATAAACATTTCCCACCTATTCCCTATGGGATCAGCAAACTTTCTACTTCAGGCTTGTGCAGCACCTACACTAACAGAGTTTGTAGGCCACTGTTCCCTTCTGAAGCTAAACTGTTCACACCCCTGAAAGAGACCCAAATTTATAACACCACCTAACCTTTTGCCCATCTTATCCTTTTGGTAATCCTCCAGTTGCGTTGTCTGGAGGATTTATATTTCTTTATTTACCCTTAAGATGATAGTACTAATGTGAAGAAGCAAAAAGAACATCAGTTTCATCAGAGTTATCATATGTTAGACAGGCTTTAAAATCTCAATCAGAAATTTTACCAGGACCAGAGTGATAATGATCCTGACAAGGACTGCTGACAAAACTAGGAATGCAGACTTTTAGTCAGATTAATTTACTTTCATACAAGCTTCCCTTTGTACTGCAAAAGGCATTTCTCTGTTTGCTGCTTTTTATCTTTCAGAATACCTTCTTATGGGATTTCATAAAAGAAGTTAATTTTTCTGAAACTGCCTTCAGAGCAGTCAAAACAGAGAAGTAAAGAACTAGTGGGAAATCTTTCAAGCAACATTAAAATTGTTGCCAGTGTAAGTAAAATCCAAGTAAGATGAAGTCTTAATACCTGAAACCATTAAGAAAATTCTACTGGTACTGTGATCAAACTAGTGTCATGATAACAGATGTAAAAAGCTGAAAGGGAGTTATTCTCCTGGAAGTGTTTATTTCTGTGTTAGTCCATATTGTCTTGTTCAGGACGAAAATAAATTTGAACTTATGATGCAATGAATGGATTTTAGTGACATTTTAAGACAACAGCTGACTTGTCAGTAGAATAGGATCAGACAAGACAGGAGGAGGACTGACCTGATTCTCAATTCTTGTAAAAATGGAAGTACATGATGGGCATTTTCAACAATACTACTTAACCACCTGTACTGCACTGCCAGAACTTAAAGTTCTGCTAGGATTCATACCTTCCTTCTTCATTTGTCTGTGTTTGACCAGGTAGGTTTGCCCTCACTCCTCTTCTGTGATGTGGAGAGGCATGGAAGAGGTATATACATAGAATGATCTTCTTCAGCCTATTTATCTATTTGCATGAGCATGCATACACAGAAAACCCTGGAGTTTCAAGAGCAAGAACATTCAAGTGCATTTACATGAAGATGAAGCAGTACAGATAGCATATAGAAATTGAGATAATCTTTCTTAGTGAAGCAGACAGTGCTCCTTTAGTCTTGAACTTCTATTCACAAAGAAGTTCCCATGTATAGATGCCCCAAATTATTCAAGAAATCAGACTTGAATGTCTTTAAGTTTCTTAAGATTTTTTGACTGAAAAGTTGATTTCTTACAGTGTTCTTTGAAATATTTCAGATAAAGCATTGTTTATTAGAGAGGTCTAATGTCTTTGGAGTATGTTTTTTGAACTCCCTTGATTTTAAGTTAATATCAGGGCTGAGGGAAAAAGCCTCACACACCACTGACACATCTTGCACTGTATCAACCACATGCAAAGAGCATAAACATTACTCTCAAAGGCAAAGCAATCATCATTATTACAACTGAAATGTGAGCATAGTTTTCCAAAGAGACATACTAAATCATGTGGAAGACTGCAATTGTGAAGTGGTGGCAGGTTAGAGAAACTTGTGTCAAGCTGGAAAATTTTGTGTAGGGAGCCAGAGGATTTTTTGACACATTCACAAGTCAAACGTTAAAATGTGATATGTTAGAAGAAAACCTAAAGAAAAGGATCTGAGTTCTGCTGAGACAGATCTGGATGAGTCCTTAAAGCAGGGAAGGTAAGGTGGAACAAAAATAACAGGAGATAGACCAGGTCAGAATGGAAGAAGTTGCAAATTGCAACATCTTTTCCTGTAACAATGATCCTTCATTGTTCAGACTATCTTTATCTGCACACTTTGCTTAGAATGAGTAGAAATAGTACCTGTTTAGAAATGAGCTACATGATCAGCTGTTCCCATTACACCACTTGTCACATAAAATCGTGCCTGGAAGTATACAGCTCCATCAGGAAATGGTAACCTTAAAATTCAGTTGGGTATCTTCCATCAATTAGTAACATATGTTAAATCTCTCACTGCATAAATAATTATACTGCCTACATTATTGCGTTCTCCACTGAATGGAAAGGGAGCAGAGACAGGCCCTGTAATCCAGCACTTAAAAAGCAGGAAAAGCAGCAAGTACAAGTGGGCTATGTTAAAATTATAATTTAAAAAAAAATTTCCACTGTTTAGATACCTGAATTAAAATGTGACTAAAAATGTAAAATTGCCCTTCTACATGAAAGCTGTGAAGAATGTATTAGCAGCCAATATCTCCATTTTCAGACTCATTCACAAATAACACACAGAGTAACAAAACATACTCCAAGTACTTTGCTAATGGATTAGGACTGCATTAATTCAGAAACAAAAGTTTCACCCAATGATACATCGAAACAGCCTAGAAAGAAAAGATACATATTAGTTTCTTTCAAGTCCTGGCCTGACCCTACTTAATCTCTTGGGGTCAAATGGCATTACAGACCAAGGTCATAAAGAAATAAGACCCAGTCATCTTCTGCTTCTCTCCTGCTTTGATGGATCTTCTCCAACTGGCATAAGGAATGAAACTCAAGACTTCAACATGAACTTGTCCTGACAAAGTTCAGCCCTATAGCAACATATCCTCTCTTCTTCAGAAGGGGCACACTCTCATGTGTAGAGTTTGGATTTAAAAATTACCATTCAGATTTGCACTTAAAAATATTTTAATACCATGTATCAACAGCTGTGAAGGCATACATGGTTCCTTTACAACTTCTCAGCAATTGCCTCAGAGTTTGATGAACACAGGACTACCTGTGTTGATAATACTGTTTGAGTAACACAAGAGAGAAAGTTCCAATGA